GAGTTCAGCTGAAGCCTGAGTGAGTCACTATGACGACACACTCCGTGAAGCTAACCTGCCCCCTAGCAGGTTTACTACAACTAACCCTGACTGTCTCCGCCCCTTTGTCGGAAACCTGACAGTAGGAAGTGTCAGACATGGCGTGCTCCCTTCCTTGAAGAGCCAGTAGATCGTGAAGCCCAAATTCTCCGCAGAGCTCTCCGCCGGGAGAGAGTGATCAGATCGCGTTTGGACATTTTATCATTTCCTGATGAGTTTCTGTGCGAACGTTACCGTTTCTCAGCACAATCTATAAGTTATTTGATAACATCCTCAGGCCATATATTACGCATGTGACATCGCGGACATGCTCTCAGTTCTGACAGGTCACTTATAACTTACAAGGGACCAAATGGCAATTAACAAACATACCAATCACCTTACACTTCATTGTCATTATGCTCTCAAAGACAACCAAGACTGAGGGAAGGCAAAATCAGTAGGAATATAACTTCACTACAAACAAATTCATTATGGTAAAGAGTTTATCAAATGAATGAGCAGCACTGCAAAGGTGACTGTGAAGAAAGGATGTATGCACATCATGTATTATTTTGAATTTACCCCCTATGTAGGCACTTGTGTCTTGCGGGGTTATTGACTCAGAGGATGTCCCCACAGAGATGCCTTCAGCCACAGGGCGCCCACTGTTTTGGCTGAGGGCCAACTGCTCAGCCTCTGTGAGTGGTGGTGGTGGAGGACCCCCACAGTTCGGGGTTACTCAACCCTGAGTATTTGTTTTTCACTCTGAGTTTTCTAAACCGGATTCCTGAAATAGGGCCCTGGGGTAATATCCAAGATGTGTACTGAAAAAAGAGTGCATCTTTGAACAATGAAGTACGCTTTGTGGTGGTTAGAATTAATTGGATCCCAAAGACCTACATGCTGTTACTGACTCTGTGATAATTTGCTATATAGTAAACATTAGCATTCCATTAATAATAATAAAAAGATCTCTCTGTCTGACTGTTTTAGCGCAGCTTTTCCTTTGCTGCACTACATTTACTCAAATTTAGAATATAGGTCCTCAGCCCTGCTTATAAATAAGTTGCTATTATTTCAACCTGGTCCTGTGATCTCCTTTCCTGGTGAGTTTATGAACTCAGTCACTTAATTTGGGTCAGATTGAAAACAGCATTTATTTGATCAATCTGGTCATTGTAAGAGCCATAAAGGGGCATTATTCATTATACGGTCATTGGTTAATGACCTATGATTGAAAAATTGCTAGTAAAAATTAGCATGTGGCATCAGGGTCAGATCAACGCCTCATTCTGGTTTAAAAACACCACGATGGTGTCATGGTAGATTTGTCTTTCACGCTGTCCACGATACTAACCCAGAAAGAGGGAAGAAAAATGAATCCACTTCCACTCCAACAGTAGTAAAGTGCATAACATAGTTTTAGAACCAACATTGTGAGAAAATAATTCAGCGACTACCAATGTTCCCTCTAATTTTTCACGTGTCTGAGCGAACACACAAACTCCCTGAGCGACATCAGACGTGTGCACTGTGGTCACGCCAGCATCTAATCCATCCAAGTTACATGGTTTATTAAAATAATCAAATTACAGCATTTACATTTATGTTAGACTACTTTTAAACTGCTTCAGCCCATTTACAATGAAAATGTAAAAAAAAATCTAGCCATTGGCTTGTGTAGTATGTTAACACTATTGGAAGTAAAAATGACTTGAACTCCAATTTCGAAAAAAACCAAAAACTTTCTTTTTCTTTTTCTTTTTATAAAGCTCTGACTTGTATTATGAGTCTGTGGTCTGGGAGAGAGTCCTGTAACTCTCTGTATAATTATATAGTTACTCCTCAAAAAAGTAACTCAGTTTGGCAAACAAAGTTTTTTGCAGCTTTTTTTTTAAATGCAGCCGAGGCATTTTTAAATAAACATTTCAAACTATTTACAGAACAATCAGCTGTTCTGCATCAAATTTGATGCCACACAAATCATTTGTGTCACTCCAAAAAATAATTTCTGTTCACTATGAGATAAAGGAGAACAACAGCCTGATACCTGCAGGCCTGACAACAGGAGATGTATCACTCCTGTAACACCTGTAACATTCAGCAGTCGCCTCATTGTTGTGACGCACACAACAAATCTATTGACTACACTACACACTAACTACACAAGATTTGAGCTAAACGTCTCAAATCTCTCACATCTCAAAATACCGCCGTCACTCCTAAAATTTCCCCCCGTTTCTAACTAGATGCCACGTTGCCATACCATTTTTTGATTGGTCGACATGGTACTTTTTTGGACGAATAGGAAAGAGAGAGGGGGGTGGGGGTTTGTTTTTGCTCACATACAGAGAGCGCTTTCGAGCCTTTTTCCATATAAAACGCCGTTTTTACCGTTTCTTCCCACAGTAAATATAAACAATGACAGTATTCAGGAAGAAAACCAAACATTGCATATTTTTTATCACAACTCTGGTTTTACGTGGCCGATCAACACAATTTAAAAACTGGTAGAAAGTCCACACTTTTCCGTCAATTGTTCCGTCTGTCCTGCTCACATCTCCAATGGTTGTACACGTTGTCATTAACGTGGCTTCACTCCACATCAGCCACGCCGCTTTGCTAGTTAAAACGCCAGTGTCGGCACATAAGGACGCTGTCATAGCCTGTCAACCACGTTGATTGGCTGCGTATACAAATGTGAATCGCATTATTGGCTGGACTATGGGATAAGGTGGCATCGTTCTAATCCCATACGGGAGCAGCCAGTCACTTACTGACTAACACTGCCAAACATAATTGTTAAAGTTTTATTTTCAATTCAGGTTAGATTTTTTTTTGTGTGCGCAGAAACCGTGCCTGCAGTGCGCAATTGCGCACGTGCGCAGCTTAGAGGGAACATTGGCGACTATTAATGTGACTTCTGTCACACCAAAATTTATTGCAAACCATGTTTAAAGTCTTCAGGAAGTTTTGGATGTGGTTTTTCTCTGACTGATTGGGGCAGAATTCACATATATCAATCATGCAGTATCGTCACAGCAACATCATCAACTGTAATAATTGCCAAAAAAATAGTTAGTAGTTCTCATCCTTTGCTCCTTCTCTTATTCAGTCCAAGAACTCTCATAATCTTAATCAGCCACATTCTTTCCATGGCTGGTAACAAAAAAAGCTGATTTACTGGAATTAAATTAGCCTGATCAGAGTTTTTTTTTAATTACTTTTACAACTGTGTGTCTACACTCCACCTCAGCCCTGCATTGTATCTTTCTATTCTTTTGTTATTGCAAGAAAGACCCTGCATCTTAAATTGACTGCAGACAGCTTACTGTTTAATTAAGACAGTTGCCATGGTAATTGTCATCTTGCATTCGGGGAGGAAAATGCAATGTGGGAAAAATGCCAAATCAGGAATTTTTGACTGCAAAGAGGAAGTTAACACAGGGAGTTGCTGTCATTATATCATATCAGTTTGGACTGCTATTCACTGTTTTCAGCAGCCAGGTGCTGATTCCTGTTAAGTATTAATGGGTGTGTGTGTGTGCAAGTGCAAGTGCAAACTAGCCTCGGTGATTATACAGATCTCACATGTGTGTTTAGAGTCAGTCCAGACGTTGGCTATGACATAAGTGAAGGGGAATGCTTTATATTTCCCTCCCCCGCTTGTTCTCCACTGTCTGTTTTGCCTCGATGTCTGACAGTACAGAGAGGTTAAAAGTCAAGCTTTTTTTTTCCTTTCTAGTGTAGAGATACAAACACATTAAAACACACATCTTTCTTTTGTCTTTCTTATATTTTCTCACTCTCTTTTACACTCATTCAGATACATCACAGATCAGAGTATCAGCAAAGCAAGAGAGTCAAGCAGAAGCTATTTTCCTTACACAGACAGAGCGACTCAGACATAGCCTCTCATGACCTTTTTTTTTTTTCACTGTTAGCCCTCTTTCCAGCAGAATGTGCACAGTCATTCAACTCTCTTTTGCTATTTGAATAGAAACTAGGGCAGCTCAAATCAGAACACTCAGACCAGAGGGAATGTTGGGATTTTGAAATGAGTTTAATTCTCCAACATTGCTTTTTTGAACACAAGGGTCTGATTAAACCCGTTCAGAACTCGGCGTTGTTTATAGTAGAATCTAAGGTTTCTCTTCTTTTTTACATTATTACAAAAGCATCCAAACATAACTGAATCAACATCTCTCTTGGTATTTTCCTGTGCTGAGATCAAGATCATAGATTGCCTTCAGCAAGGATTGTTAGAGTTCTTTTTACTAATTTACTCTTCAGTGTAAAAAAGGAATTAATTTCAAAATGTTCTCTCAGGAAAAGGAAAGAAAAATACAAAGTCGGAGCAGAAGACTGCCACTGTGGGGAAGGGAGCAAGTAAGAAAATCACTAAGATCATTGGACTTGGAAAGAAGAAGCCCTCCACGGATGAACAGACATCATCAGCTGAAGAAGACGTACCTACATGTGGTAAGAGAGAGAGACGTAAATATCCTGACATGGTAGAAGTATGGCTTTTATATGGATCTTGATTGATTGACCGGTCTATAAATGCATTTATGTCCCAATGAATCTTTGGAATTTTGGTTAATTAAGAAAATGTTTCAAAGTAATGCCAGAGGCGTTTCAGAATGGCTGCTGAGTGGTGCGACTCACTTCTAGGAAGTTTTTTCTTAAGATTGCTATGTTAGGGTCCTGAAAGTAAACAGTTCAGACAGGTTGCTTTGATTTCCTTATGCTTTCAGACGTATTATAAAACATAAAGATTCTAAAAGTTTCTTTAAAAAATTCATTTAGAAGTGCACCCCATTGTGTGCAATGAGGACCAGTGATGGACAAACAAATAGAAATGCCTTTTATGTCTTATTATTTCCTTCATTTAGGCTCAAATAGGTACGACTAAAATGTCGCCCAACTAGACAGGCCTGAAAAAATATTGCCACTGTAACGGCTTCTTTAAGATGGTATCCTCCTGACTGTGTTTGCTCTGACAGGCTACCTGAATGTTCTCTCTAATAACCGCTGGAGGGAGCGCTGGTGCCGCCTCAAGGACAACCAGCTGCTCCTTCACAAGGACCGGGATGACCTGAAAAGCCACATAGCTTCACTGCCCCTCCGAGGCTGTGAGGTCAGCCCCGGCCTCGATCACAAACACCCCTTTGCCTTCCGCCTCCTTCGTAACAGCCAAGAAGTGGCCGTACTGGAGGTGAGTTTGATTACGTACTTGAGAGATTTTCATAGAAAAAAAACTTTGTTGAGGGAATTAGAAATGCCTCAAACACCACTAAATCACACTTAGGCTGATGCAAGAAAAGATTGCTCCTTATTTTTTTATCTTCCTCTCGAGTGCTCAATATCTCCTCCACCCACAGTGATTTTTGTGTTTAATGTTGTTGGTCTTCACAAACTTCCTCCAATTGCCATCCAGTTTGTTTTGATTCTATTTCCTCACATAGTCTGCACACTATCCTTAAACAATCCAATTATTATTATCTTCATTTAAACAGATAATAATAATAAGGAATTTAAAGTTTATAAGGATCCTCTTCTTGTTTTGGCTGGTCTTTTTGGGGGATCATTTGCCTCCATCTCACCCTGTTTCTACTGTCCTCCTTCACTAAATCATAAACCTTCTCTCTTTTTTAACATTTAACTCTTCACAGACACTGGCGGGATTGCATATTCTGTAACTCTGACTTTTGCCTTCAGGCCTCCTCCTCTGAGGAGATGGGTCGCTGGTTGGGGGTTTTGCTAGCTGAGACTGGATCTACCACAGACCCAGCCACCTTGCACTATGACTACATTGATGTTGAGACCACTGCTAACGTCATCCAGCTTGCCAAACAGTCCTTCTGGTGAGAGATGCATCCACATCATTTCACATGAATCTTTTTCTCTCTGGTTAATACCTGGAAGAATTCTTAAAGAATTAGTGCTTAATGTGTTTTATTTCTTATTTCATTAGCTCACAATGACTTATATGTTGAAACGTAGTATGTCTGGCTATTTTCCATTTTCCTGTTTTTATACGATCGTTACAACCGTTAATGATCCATTTTTAACTATTTTGTAGACTAAGAGATACAAAAATCCCAGGTAATGAAGATATATGAAGGGCACTGTATTTTTAAGCCTCAATCGTGATGTTTTATGTTTAGTTTCACCAGTAAGCGTGCCGTGTCTCCTAACCCATATCTGGACAACCCAGTCAGTGGCTATGCCTGCCCCACTGGTATGGCACTACACTATGATGATGTGCCCATAAATGGAATGGTAAGGACACAACTGCTTACTGATGTTGCATATGTACTGCAATGAAAAAGTGTGAGATAATTCACTTCAACACCCTCTAGTTTGCTTACAAACTCTTGGCTGATTCTTTCTTTGCTTTTCATTTTTTGCATATCATTAACATATTATTGGAAAATGTGTCATTTTTGTTATGACACTTTCAGAAGTTCCAGTGAGCCTGCATGATATAAATCTTTTTCTTTCCTAAAATCAAATTAGACCAGTTAAAGTAACGGTATGTACTTTGCTATTTGCAATAATGGTGCTCGGGCCCCTTGCATACCACAGCTTTTACCTTCTGCACTCATTGACCTCCTGACAGATTTACATATGAACCTGAGGGCTGAGTCAGTCTGCACCCAAAGAAGAGCAAAATTACACTGTTGCATGATAATAATGATATAAAACTAATAAAGACAAGCAGACAGAGAATATAACATTGTTTATTCATAAAAGATGCTATAATAAAGGCGTAAAGAGTAACCTGTGATTTAACGTTATAGGACTTGGATAAAAGCTCATCAACAATTAAAAAGAGTAAACATTAAATATGTTTTCAGTCGTGGAGCAGTACTCTCCATTTTGGGAAGCTAAACTAAATTTGTTAAGTATTTCACATACTGCAGTAATGCTGCTATCATCTTCTTCCTTTCTGTTCTCCTTATCTCCCCCCCCCCTCCCTTTATGGCATCTTAAATCCTTCTTAAATCCTGTCTTCTGCTTATTGCATGCTCACCTGGTCTAACCCAAGGACCCAGAGATGCAGTACTCCACTCCCAGCACAGGGGGGCGCCAGCGGAAAGAGGAATTGCACTATGAAAACACTGAGCTCTATGAGAACATGCCCTCACCCAAGCTAGTCACCAGCTGTCCTCCCAAGCCTTCTTCTTCTACTGCTGCATCATCTTCTGCTTGTCACTACAAAACTCCTGTTTCTAAAATCTCCTCTAAGTTCCTCTCTGCTGATTCTAAAACTAAAGACTCCGCTCAGGTGACTAACACTGCTGCATAACCTTCATGTTTCTTTTTGCATTTCTGCATATTAACTGTCTAACAGTTCAGGGTTTGTTTTAACCTCCTCTTAACTTTTAGTGTTTTTAATTCTCCTTCGCTGTTTGTTTACTTAGTGATCTCTTATGTTTATGTATTTAACTGAACTGGAGTTTGTTTGCTGATTTTCTTACTGTGTCATTATGAACACCAAACAACAAAAGTAGAGATGATGCCTGTCTCCTGGGCCCTATTTCAGGAAGCCGGTTTAGAAAACTCAGAGTGAAAAACGATACTCAGGGTTGAGTAACCCCGAACTGATCAACTCGGAATATTCGGTTTCAGAAAGGCTGATAACAAGTAGTTCAATCAACGTGGAGTTGCTTTAACCCAAAGTTAAGCGCGCGCACGAGGATACATAAAGCCCTGATTAGTGGAGCACAGATTAAGCGAGTCACCATGGAGACGGAGGGAAAGAAGGCGCGGTCAATGTATTTTACAGCGCTTGAGGCCGAAATTCTGATGGCAGTATAGGGCTTTGGAGCGTGATGTCACGGGGGTGGGCGATAACATGCAAATTTTGCGGGAAAAAAGTAACACAGCCTCAGCTGCCAAAGAAAGGGAGCATGCATGGCAAAACATAGCCGACAGAGTCAATGCGTGAGTGTTAATTTAAACATTGATCTAGGGATTTCCACCCATTTAACACGTTATTTTATTA